CTGGAACGTGATAAGTACGCGGTCTTCAACTTCAATATGCCTTCAGGTCGACAGATGTAAAGCGTTAAGCGTTTTCTGTATTATTAACCTTAGAGTGGTGACGTACGTCAATTCGACTCCCAACGCTGGCGGTGTTGTACGTCAAATTGCCTCCGTATCGCTACAATGGTAGTGGCATGACGGCGAATTGATTTCGTATCAATCGTGGTGAATTATTGAATCAATTGTGGTGTAGAAAATTATTATTTGAAATAGTATTTACTTAAAATGTGTACTGGAAATAATGATTTGAAATAGCATCTCGTTTATCTAAATTTCTATTATTTGAATTGATTTTGTATTAATCATGGTAAAATATTGTATCAATTGTGGTGTAGAAAATTATTACTATTTATTTAAAATGTACTGGAAATAATGATTTGAAATAGCATCTCGTTTATCTAAATTTCTATTATTTGAATTGATTTTGTATTAATCATGGTAAAATATTGTATCAATTGTGGTGTAGAAAATTATTACTATTTATTTAAAATGTACTGGAAATAATGATTTGAAATAGCATCTCGTTTATCTAAATTTCTATTATTTGAATTGATTTTGTATTAATCATGGTAAAATATTGTATCAATTGTGGTGTAGAAAATTATTACTATTTATTTAAAATGTACTGGAAATAATGATTTGAAATAGCATCTCGTTTATCTAAATTTCTATTAATTATTTGAATTAATTTCGTATCAATCACAGCAAATTATTATATCAATTGTGGTATAGAAAATTATTACTTGAAATAGTACTTACTTAATATGTATTGAAAATAATGATTTGAAATAGCACTTAATTTATCTAAATTTCTATTAATTATTTGAATTAATTTCGTATCAATCACAGCAAATTATTATATCAATTGTGGTATAGAAAATTATTACTTGAAATAGTACTTACTTAATATGTATTGAAAATAATGATTTGAAATAGCACTTAATTTATCTAAATTTCTATTAATTATTTGAATTAATTTCGTATCAATCACAGCAAATTATTATATCAATTGTGGTATAGAAAATTATTACTTGAAATAGTACTTACTTAATATGTATTGAAAATAATGATTTGAAATAGCACTTAATTTATCTAAATTTCTATTAATTATTTGAATTAATTTCGTATCAATCACAGCAAATTATTATATCAATTGTGGTATAGAAAATTATTACTTGAAATAGTACTTACTTAATATGTATTGAAAATAATGATTTGAAATAGCACTTAATTTATCTAAATTTCTATTAATTATTTGAATTAATTTCGTATCAATCACAGCAAATTATTATATCAATTGTGGTATAGAAAATTATTACTTGAAATAGTACTTACTTAATATGTATTGAAAATAATGATTTGAAATAGCACTTAATTTATCTAAATTTCTATTAATTATTTGAATTAATTTCGTATCAATCACAGCAAATTATTATATCAATTGTGGTATAGAAAATTATTACTTGAAATAGTACTTACTTAATATGTATTGAAAATAATGATTTGAAATAGCACTTAATTTATCTAAATTTCTATTAATTATTTGAATTAATTTCGTATCAATCACAGCAAATTATTATATCAATTGTGGTATAGAAAATTATTACTTGAAATAGTACTTACTTAATATGTATTGAAAATAATGATTTGAAATAGCACTTAATTTATCTAAATTTCTATTAATTATTTGAATTAATTTCGTATCAATCACAGCAAATTATTATATCAATTGTGGTATAGAAAATTATTACTTGAAATAGTACTTACTTAATATGTATTGAAAATAATGATTTGAAATAGCACTTAATTTATCTAAATTTCTATTAATTATTTGAATTAATTTCGTATCAATCACAGCAAATTATTATATCAATTGTGGTATAGAAAATTATTACTTGAAATAATATATACTTAAAATGTACTGAAGACAATGATTTCAATGAAGCTTTCACAAATCGCAAAACTGAAGCGTCGTAGGAACTTGACGAAAGTTTAGCATAAAAATTGTCGGTAATTTGGGGAACGGAGGTGGTTTGTCGGTGATTTTGAATGCGGAGAAAACTTGCAGAATTGAAATGCAGCGCAGGTGTTGTCGGACGCCGTGTAAAAATACTACGCCGATTTAATTGCGAGCAGTTTCGTAACGGTGGATTTTCTTGGCGGTGTTGGCGGGTACTATATCCTGGGAATCCTCGCCTCGACAAGCCAAGCAGAACGCCGGATTCTTCCCCATCTATCCGTTTATTAGCATAATTCGATAGAAATCGAATTCCCGGTGTCGGGTATTCTAGAAATGCAGCAGCCACCGGCGTGTGCATTCTGCGTGGCTGGGCTGTTCATGCAACCGCTAACCCTTTCCACGCTGCCGCTAGGAACTCGGGGGAGTCTGCTCTCTCCGGGAGAGCTGATAGCCTAATTTGATTTAAATAAAACACTGGTGCTTCGAGATTAAGTTCGCTTCCCCCCCCGGGAGACTTCGGACACGAACGGAATGCAAATTAATTCCGGATCACTTGCCGCGCATTTTTATGCGACGCCGCGGGAACGTTACACGGACCGTTTCTATTAAATTAGCAAAATTAATGAAAATAGTGTTAGGAAATTGAGCTCGGCCAGCACCGACCGATATCGAAATGTCCCAGAAAAATGTCGAAATAGATAACGGCGTATGTTATCTTATCGAATTTATTGCAGTGGTCGCCCCAAAATAAAAAATTGTGTACCTTTCCGAAGGCATAAGTAACATTGCGGTGATAAAATAATAAATACCCTGGCAAGGTTGTCGAAATCAATTTTAGTATATTTATGAAGGCCCTTTTTAAGGTCACTAATGTTAATAAATCTATTGTAACAGTTTATTTATACAATAAGAAATGATCTGGTCTCAAAACCATCACTATTAATAAATTTAGTATATTGATAGTCATGGGGTAGAAATGATCTACCTGTCCAAAGTCATCAATATTACTAAATTCGTTTTATTTAGGAATATCATAATAATTTACGAATTATTTAATTATTTTATATAATTATTTTTAATTATAATCTATAATTTAGGAATTATTATAATTAGACTGCGGATCATCTACATCGATAAAAATTAATAACATTCTAATTTGATTTTCACGATGTGGAATCTTTCATTTCATGAAAGAAATTTTTCTTTGATTTTAGGTTTTACGCGTAATTAAGTATAAAAATGCGAATTTGCATACAGATCCACAATCTAATTATAATGCAAACAAGAATATCGTAAAATATAGGTGACGAGATATTAGCAGAAATATCGATAGAATCCTTCGATGAGTACAAAGTGCAGCAATTTTAATTCTAAATGATGTTATCGAAATGATGTCTGGCGAGTAATTGTTGTATTTATTATTATATGTTATTGCAATAACAGTTCGTTATTACTGCTCATATACGGCGTTTCATTGTTCGAATATTGAATCTCCTCTGAATAATTATGTACAATCGTTATTTATTCTGCTCTCGTATTATCTTCCTTGAGGACAATGGCCTTGAGCAGCCAGCAAAGGAGTACTCGGCAGAAAGAACTTTCTCATTATAAAAGATAGGGAAATCAATTTACCTTCGAATAAAGTATTCAGCAGAACCTAATTCGTATAAGACGAGTGCCAGATCTATTCCGCCGGTACACCTGTTCACTGCAATCTCTATCTACTGGTTGTTCTTATACAATAAGAATGAAGCTTTCATACAGAGTGAACCGAGACACCGTTCCCCAGCTTATAAAGCCACTCGAGAAATAAATAATTCATCGTTCTGTCAATCTGTTCTACCAATCCGCTAAATTTTCTTCGAAAATAATCCATTAATTTTTAATAATGGCTCTAATAATAGCAGGCTAGAATTAAAATGATTAAAATGATTATATATCACATATATATATATATATATATATGTATAATTACATTCTGAACTATATCTATATTACGGATATATTACAGATTCATACATTTATTACATATAATTAAAATGCATCTAAATTAACAGAATATGCAGCGAAACGATTTTCTTATCCATGCTTTCAGTAAATTAAAAATGAAATGAAATTATATTACACACGTGCTATAATTTTCCGACGATTTTTATTTAGTACAAATGCACCGAGTTTCCAGAATTTCTAAATTAGCATCAGAATCAATTTTTCTTCCGAATCTCGCTGTATAAAATGCATAGTTATTAATGAAATAAATGCATACGTAAAATTAATCAATAACAAAATACATTTAGCATATGTATA